CAATTTGCCCACCTCAGCCTCCCAAAGTGCTGGGATTATAGGCATGATTCACTGCACCCAGCTAACAATACTTTTTTTTTTTTTGAGATGAAGTCTCGCTCTGTCACCCAGGTTGGAGTGCAGTGGCCTGCAAGCTCCACTCCCGGGTTCACGCCATTCTCCTGCCTCAGCCTCCCGAGTAGCTGGGACTACAGGCGTCTGCCACCACGCCCGGCTAATTTTTGTATTTTTAGTAGAGACGGGGTTTCATCGTGTTAGGCAGGATGGTCTCAATCTCCTGACCTCGTGATCTGCCCGCCTCGGCCTCCCAAAGTGATGGGATTACAGGCATGAGCCACCGCGCCTGGCCAGACAATACTTTTTTTAAGTCAAAAGTTTAATAGAATTATTACTTAAAATGTTACTATATCAAAAAGGAAGCTACAGGAAAGGAATGTTTCAAAACTCTGGGATGGTCAACGTGTCCCTTGCTAATGTGAACATTAGATTTACCCCCAAGGCAGTGACTGGTGACCTTGGCCAGAGCTCTCAATAGAGTGGTAGAAGCAGAAGGCAGATTCCAGTGGACTGACTGACGACAGGCAGGGAAAACGTAAATAAGGCTGTGAGTGTGGACAAGTCCTTTAAGGAGTTTGGCTCTAAGGTGACAAGAAATAGGGGACAGTAGGCTAGGTGTGGTGGTTCACGCCTGGTAATCCCAGCACTTTGGGAGGCTGAGGCCGTGATCACCAAGTCAGCAGTTCAGACCATCCTGCCAACATGGTGTACCCAACCCTCCGTCTCTATTAAAAATAACAAAAAAATAGCGGCGCCGTGCCTCAAGCCGTAATCCCAGCACTTTGGAGGAGAACGATGGATCACAAGTCAGGAGACAGACATCCTGCTAACACGGAAACCGTTCTACTAAAAATACATAAAAAACTAGCCGAGCGAGGGGCGGGGCGCCTGTAGTCCTAGCTACGGGAGGCTGAGGCAGGAGAAGGCGTGAACCCCGGAGCGCAGCTTGCATTGAGCTGAGATCCGGCACGCACTCCGAGCCTGGCGACAGAGCAAGATTCCGTCTCAAAAAAAAAAAAAAAAAAAAAAAAAAATAGCTAAATGTGGTAGTGGCACCTGTAATTCCAGCTACTTGAAAAGCTGAGGCAGGCGCCGGCGCGGGGCCAAGCCTGTAATCCCAGCAACTTGGGAGGCCGAGACGGGCAGATCACGAGGTCAGGGATAGCAAGACCACCTGGCTAGACACGGTGAATACCCCGTCTCTAGCTAAAAATACAAAAAAAAAAAAAAAACACAACCGGCCGAGGTGGCGGGCCCTGTAGTCCCAGCCTACCTCGGAGGGGGCTAGAGGCAGAGATGCGTGAACACAGAGGCGAGCTGCAGTGAGCGAGATCCGGCCACCTGCACTCCAGCCCTGGCCGGACGAGAGCGAGACTCCATCCAAAAAAAAAAAAAAAAGCCGAGGCAGGAGAACTTTTGAACCTGGAGGGCAGAGGTTGGCAGTGAGGCCAAGATTGCGCTATTGCACTCTAGCCTGGGCAACAAGAGTGAAACCCTGTCCAGAAAAGAAAAGAAATAGAGGGGATGGTAACTAAAGGGCTGCATGTTGGGCAAGGGTCTCCATAAAACAGGAGAAACTCATGCATATTTAAGTCCCTGTTTGGAAGGCAAATCCATGCTCTACCTCCGGACAATAGGAGCTCTAGGACCCCAAATCTGCATTCCCAGACTTGGTTCCTCCAAAGACCCCACACCAGGCTGCACATCCAGGGAGAAGAGGTAGAGCCCTCCAACAAAGGAAGGTTGGTCCCAAGATACTAAACAAATAAAGTGTTGTGTTGCATCTTTAGATGCTTTCCCACTGCGGCTGTCTAAGGTGGGTGTCTGGGGTAGAGCCCTGGTGGGTGGGCAGGTACTCTTCATAAAACTGGAATGGAGTAGAGTAAGGCTGGAGACTGTGCTGTCTTGACCTCTGCCCAAGATGATCAACCACCTGGGGCTTCCCCAGCTACTTAACTGCTTCCTGCTGCAAAGCGCAGGGATTGGGAAAGAAACTGCCACCTGGCACCTTTGGACAATTGCCATGGCAATCACAGGCCAGGCATTTTATTCCAGTCATTGCCTGGGAGTGGTCCTCCCACATGTCTTGTTTTCTGTGTTAGAGGCTTATTACTGTACAGCCTCCAGCCCTCCACTTTCATCTTGCAAAACAAGGTTCTTTAGCTACTGTCTTTCTTTGATGCCTGGAAGGATTTGCCCTGGAGTGTCAGAAATTTGAGACTTTATGCAAGTGCACAATAAACACCCTGAAATTGAAACTGATCCAATGGAGAGTGCTGGAATTAGTGAGGGGCAGTGGATGTGTCCTGCAAGGTCAGAGGAGACACAGGCCAAGATAGTTTGCCTCCCAGCTCCACAGGGTCTCCCCACCCTCAGTGAGTGGGCTTGGGAGGTAGATGCTTGGGATGCTGCAAGGGACATGGTCAACACCTTAACCAAACGGACACATGACCCAGTTAGTTTCGAGATAGACTGGGTCACATCAATCATTCTTCACCACCTGCACCCTAGGACTGCTGAGAACCCTTACCCACAGGAATTATACGGCCCTGCTGCCCCAAAAAGATAGGATCCGAGTCAACAAGAAGGAGAAACAAGGACCACATATTTTGAACTCCTGGCTAGCCTGGCCTATGGTTCTCAGCCCAGCCACACATTAGAACCAACTGTGGAGCTTATAAAAAACGCCCAGTATCTGGACTCCACTATAGTAGATTTAAATTCAGTTGAGGAGGAGCCAGGGCATCTGTTTTTTTTTCTTAAGTATTTCAAGTGTGGAGAATAACTGGCTGCTCAAATAAGTGGCCAGGCTTCACACCTGATCCCATGGCTTCCTAGCTGTGTGACCTTGGGCAAGTTACTCAACATGTGTAAACCTCCATTCCCTCAGCTATAAAACAGTACCTGCTGGCCAGGCATGGTGGCTCACACCTATAATCCCAGCACTTTGAGAGGACAAGATTGGAGGATTGTTTGAGCCCAGGAGTTCAAGACCAACCTGGGCAACATAGCAAGACCTCATCTCGATAAAAAAAAGAAAAAGAAAAGAAAAACAGTACCTGCTTAATGGAGTTGTGGGGAGGATTAAATGAAAGAATGCATGTCAGTGCCTGGCATTGTGCCTAGCACGTAGTTAAGTGTTCAGAATGTTATTCTTATTGCTGGAGCAGCAGTTGTTACCTCTCTAGAATCCAGGTTTGAAGGTATATAAGTAAGAAAGTGCCATTTCCAGTGACCAGGGACCAAGGCCTGTCCTTTTCCCAGAGTAGGGTTGAAGAGTGTTAGTCAGAGCCAGGGTCCAAGATTGCTTAGGTCCTGGTATTGGCACTCAACTTTGGTTACTCTTAACATTCTAGTCCTGCACTGTCCATTCTGAAATAACGAAAATGTTCTATATTTGGGCTGACAACATAGTAGTCACTAGCCACATGGGACTATTTAACACTTGAAATGTGGCCTATGTTGGCGGGGCATGGTGACTCACGCCTGTAATCCCAGCAATGGGAGGCCGAGGTGGGCAGATCACCTGAGGTCGGGAGTTTGGGACCAGTCTGACCAACATGGAGAAACCCCGTCTCTACTAAAAATACAAAATTAGTCGGGCATGGTGGCGCATGCCTGTAATCCCAGCTACTCGGGAGGCTGAGGCAGAGAATTGCTTGAACCTGGGAGGCGGAGGTTGCAGTGAGCTGAGATCGCGCCATTGCACTCCAGGCTGGGTGACAGAGCAAGGCTCTGTCTCAAAAAAAAGAAAAAGAAAAAAGAAATGTGGCCCATGTGACTGGGGAACTGAATAATTTTATTTAATTACAATTCATTTAAAGTTGGCTGGGCGCGGTGGCTCCCGCCTGTAATCCCAGCACTTTGGGAGGCCGAGGCGGGCGGATCACAGGGTCAGGAGATCCAGACCATCCTGGCTAACACGGTGAAACTCCGTCTCTACTGAAAATACAAAAATTAGCTGGGCATGGTGGCGTGCGCCTGTAGTCCCAGCTGCTGGGGAGGCTGAGGCAGGAGAATGGTGTGAACCCGGGAGGTAGAGCTTGCAGTGAGCCGAGATTAGCCACCCAACTTGCACTCCAGCCTGGGGGACAGAGCCGAGACTCCATCTCAAAAAATATAATATATTATTATTCATTAAAGTCAACAGCTACACATGGCTGATGGCTACAGAATTAGAAAATATAGCTCTAGGCTGTGACATGGTGGTGCACTCGCCTCTAATCCCAGCACTTTGAGGAGGCCGAGGCAGGGCAGATTGTTTGACAGCCGGAGTTCAAGGACCAGCCTGGGCAACATGGTGAAAAGCTATCCTCTACAAAAAAAAAATTACAAAAAAATTTGCCAGGCGTGGTGTGGTGGCGCACCTGAAGTCCCAGCTACTCCAGGAGGCTGAAGTCAGAGGATGGCTTGAACCCAGGCAGGCAGAGGTTGCAGTGAGTCTGAGATTGTACTACTGCATTCCAGCTGGTGCAACAGAGTGAGACTTGTCTCAAAAACAAACAAAAAAAAAAAAAAAAAGAGAAGAAAAAAGAAAAGAAAATGTAAGCCTCTGGACATGCATTTTATGTGCATTGAGGATGGGAGTAAATCAAGATATAAAATTTTGAAAAATAGTGTGACCAAGCATTTTCCCTTCTATTATCTCATTGGAGCCTCAGAAAGTCCTATAAAGGAGACATAACAGGCACTAACAGCCCTATTTTATAGATTAGAGATGTTAAAAGACCTTCCCCAGATCACAAAGGGCACAGAGGCACAGCCAAGCCTGGAGCGAGGCAGACTTCTGGATTTCAAACCGTTGCTTCTTCCTTTCATCAGTTACAAAAGCTTTCTCTTCATGGAAGCACCTCACATCAGCCCTTCAGCTCCTGTGAAGGTCTCAGTCCCCTGGGCAGGCCCCAGGCCCCCTATCTCCTCCCACTGTCCCCTGTGCTACCCACCTGGAAGAGTTCCTGAACCTGAGCATCCACCCATTGCTCCATCTCCAGCCAGCGCTGGAGCTGGCCCCGGTCATATTTCACTGTCAGGCGGCTGGGTCTCCGGGACCTGGGTATCTTGGAGGAGTCCGGGTGGGACTTGGACTCTGAGTCTGTGGATGATGTCCTCCTCCTCCCAGAAGCCCAGTGGACCTTCTTACATGGGTTCTCCCCGTCTGGGCTGGGAGATGTGCAGGAAGCAGGGCTTGAAGACAGCATGGAAGGACTGGCCTGGGCAAGGAGCTGGGAAAAACCGCCAGTTCAGAGCAGGGCCACGGAGGGAAGTGAGGAGACAGAGAACAGGAAAGGCCAGCAGAGAAGAAATAAAGGCAGGAGGAGGGCCAAGGCTCCCAGGGAGGGGCAAGGGCAAAGATCAATAGGACTTTGGTGCTGGGAATGCCAGTCTCCTGGTTCCTCACTGCCAGCCAGTGAGTGGCACTCCAGAGCCATGCCCCAGCCTCCCTTTCTGCAGCTTCTCGGGCCCAAAGTGGCATAAAGTGCAGATGAGCAAAGGTCAAGAGGCTGCCATGCCCAGTGAGGAGGAAGGGGCCCTGGGGTCCTGAAGTGTACAGGGCTTCAATTGCTGCTCTATGGCCAGTTCTGGAACGGGATCTGAATCGTTCTCACCTGGGATCCCTCTGTATCCCACCTTCTTGGGGCTAGATCCACTCTGGGCTCTGAGAAGCCGTGGTCAGATTCCGCAGAAGCAGCGTCCCTGGCTGGCAGGGATTCTTGCTCAGAGTGTAGCACCACTGGGGGCAGAGTCCCAGCTGGTGGATGGAGTTGGAGGTCAGTTATCCATGGCTCCCACGGGACCAGTGCCCCCAGTGTCTGGGCGTGTCCAAATGTAAACTGTTATCAGCCTGGCCTATAAAGGCAGTTTACCTGCTTGCAAAGGCAAATTTATCAAGCCTAGTCTACCATGCCCGCTTGCCTGAGGCAACTGCTTAGGAAGCCATGTTTATGACCACGTGACCCTCCCCTGATTCATATATTTCCTGACACAGAGGAAACCTGCAGACCTAACCTATACACAGGTGTCAGGGACTAATACTTCCAGGCATACATACTTGTATTCTAAGGCAAGGTATTTTTGTTTAGTCTTTTGTAATGAAAATTGCTAAACTTTTTTAAAAAGTGACAGAAGAACATTGTAATTTTTTTTTTTTTTTTTTGAGATGGAGTCTCGCACTATCACCCACGTTGGAGGGCAATGGCGTGATCTTGGCTCACTGCAACCTCTGCCTCCCAGGTTCAAGCAAGTCTCCTGCCTCAGCCTCCCAAGTAGCTGGGATTACAGCCACCTGCCACCATGCCCAGATAGTTTTTTGTATTTTTAGTAGAGACAGGGTTTCACTGTGTTGCTCAGGCTGGTCTCAAATGCCTGACCTCATGATCCACCCGTCTCGGCCTCCCAAAATGCTGGGATTACAGGAGTGAGCCACTGTGCCCAGCCTGTAATTTTTTTAAAATGGGGCCAGGCACGGTGGCTCACACCTGTAATCCTAGCACTTTGGGAGGCTGAGGCGGGTGGATTGCTTGAGCTCAGGAGTTCAGGACCAGCCTGAGCAACATGGTGAAATTCCATCTCTACAAAAAAAAAAAAAAATTAGCTGCTTTGGGAGGCCAAGGCGGGAAGATCGCTTGAGGCCAGTAGTTCAAGACCAGCCTGGGCAACATAGCGAGATCTTGTCTCCATTAAAAAAAATGTAAACAATGGGCCAGGCACGGTGGCTCATGCCTGTAATCCCAGCACTTTGGGAGGCTGAGGCGGACAGATGACTTGAGATCAGGAGTTAGAGATCAGCCAGGCCAACATGGCGAAACCCCGTCTCTACTGAAAAAACAAAAATTAGCCAGGTGTGGTGGCGCATGTCTGTAGCCCCAGCTATTCAGGAGGCTGACGCAGGAGAATCGCTTGGGCCCGGGAGGCGGAGGTTGCAGTGAGCCGAGACTGTGCCACTGCACTCCAGCCTGGGTGACAGAGCAAGACTCCGTCTCAAAAAAAAAAAAAAAAAAAGTAAAAGATGAACAGTAAGATTACTCAGATATGGTGGTGCACAACTGTCATCCTAGTTCCTTGGAAGGTGGGAAAATCACTTCAGCCCAGGAGTTCGAGGCTACAGTGAGCTACGATGGCAACACTGCACTTAAGCATGGGCGACAGAGCAAGACCCTGTCTCATAAAGGAAAAAGGCGAATGGATGACAGTTTAATGAAATTTTAGGCCCTCACTTAAGAAGGTGAGGGAGGTGTTTGAGGTGTTGGAAGCTAAGATGGCAGCCAGGAAAAGCCCTGGCTTTGGAGGAAGACTGACAATCTGAGTTCAACTCAGCTTTGCCCTGCATTGGTTTCATAATCCTTGGCCAAGTTTCATAGTCTGTTTTCACATCTGCAGATTGGGCTTGTTGGGAAGATAAAATGAGATGATGCCTGTAAACATTTAGCATCGCATCCAACACAGAGTCCCTGTCAGTAGACATTCATCCCTGCCCTTTATTTACCTCCCCGCTCTCCCTGCCCTCCTGGCGAAGCTCTGGTGGCCAATGCCTGGGCTTTCATCAATGTGGCTCTCTTCCTGAGCAGGAGGAGGGGGCCTCTAGGATGCATCTTGTCGACTCAGCTGTCACTTTAACACTCTGTGGCCAGGAGGCATTATTATGATAGTTCCCTGACTCTTCTGTTCCCTGTCTTCTGAAGGGTTTGAGAGCCCTTTCAGGAAAAGAAACTAAATGAGAAGAGTCACTGTGTTTTGTTCATTTATTTACTCACTCAGTTAACAAAGATTTTATGAGCTCCCCTGGTAGGTCAAACATTATGCTCAGTACTGGAGATTGGTTATTCAAAAGAGACACAGGATGGGCACGGTGGGTCACACCTGTAATCCCAGCACTTTGGAAGGCTGAGGCGAGAAGATTGGTTGAAGCCAGGGGTTCAAGACCAGCCTGGTCAACATAGTGAGACCTTGTCTCTGCAAAAACAAAAAAAAGCCGGGCACGGTGGCTCACACCTGTAATCCCAGCACTTTGAGAGGCTGAGGCAGGTGGATCACCTGAGGTCAGGAGTTTGAGACCAGCCTGGCCAATATGGTGAAACCTCATCTCTACTAAAAATACAAAAATTTAGCCAGACGTGGTGGTGGGCACCTGTAATCCCAGCTACTTGGGAGGCTGAGGCAAGAGAATTGCTTGAACCCAGGAGGCGGAGGTTGCAGTGAGCCAAGATCGCGCCTTTGCACTTCAGCCTGGGCAACGAGAGCGAAACTCCGTCTCAAAACAAACAAACAACAACAAAGAACAAACAAAACAAAAAACAAACAAAAAACAACAAAAGAGACAGTTCCTTGCATTCATGGAAGGAACTTATGGTCTAGTGGGAAAATAAATAAACAATAATCAACTAATCAAATAAATGTAAAATTGCAATTTCATTTAGTGATTTGAAGAAAAGTAGGAGGTGCTATATGAATGTCTAATGAAGGTGTAACCTGGAGAGTGATAACATCTGGACTGAATTCTGACAGATGACTAGGAGTTAACCTGGCCTAGGAGCCAGCAAGAATTGACCTGGCAGAATGCAGAGAACATGCAAAGGCCCGGTGGCAGAAGGGAGATGGTGAGTACAAGGGACAAACAGGGTCAATGGCGCTGGAACAGAGGGAGGAGAGAGGGAAAAGTGAGGCAGGAGAAAGGGCTGAGATACCCACGCAGGGCCTTGTAAGCCACGTTGAGGAATTTTGTCTCCATCTAAAAGGCATTGGGCAGTCATTGAAGAGTCTTAAGCAATGGTGCTTGGGCAAGTTGACATATTCAGATTTAAACTTCCAAAAATCACCGTGGCTGTTGCACAGAAAGACAATCAGAGGGCACAGAAGGGCTGGTGGAGGTCAGCTAGAAAGAAGGTCATTGCAGTAGAGCTAGTAGGGGAGGTAGTGCTGTCAATGGCAAGAAGCAGGCAGATTGGAGAGCTATTTAGGAGGTAACATTTAACAGATACTGACTGGTAATGGGCTGGGGACACACAACCATGCAAACTTTATGAAAGCCTACACTGAGACAGACAGATGCATGCATGCAGCCTCCACGAACGTGTTTCATTCGTAAACTGGGGGTTGGTAAGATTCTATATGAGCACGCAGCATGGATACCATGAAGTTTGATGGCACACTAATGAGTGATGTCCATTATTTATAGCAAGAGGCGCCTTATTGATATCCTTCCAACTTAGCAGTGACCCACATCTCCTCCCTGGCCTATTGGTGCCACCATTCATCAGTAAGTTTGCCCAAAGATAAGGGAGCTCGAGATCCAAGATGAGATGAGAGATAAAGCCACCAGGAGCACACAGCCACATCAGGGCAGAAAAAGAGGGTGGGGGCCTGGGCAGGGAGAAAGGTGCCTGCCTGCTCTCCTGGCTTGGGCCAGATCCAGTGCTGAGATAAAATGGGCAACAGGCAGACCCCAACAGAACCAGGTTGCTCCTTTTAAATGCCTTTTCTTTTATTAAAAACTTTATTATAGAAGAAAAACATGTTTATTTATAAACTTTTCTACATTTTCTAAAACATGGCCGGGCATGGTGGCTCACGCTTGTAATCCCAGCACATTGAGAGGCTGAGGTCGGGAGTTCGAGACCAGCCTGGGCAACGTGGTGAAACCCCATCTCTACTAAAAATACAAACAATTAGCTGGGCATGGTGGCGCGTGCCTGTAATTCCAGCTACTCGGGAGGCTGAGGCAGAAGAATGTCTTGAGCCCGGGAGGCGGAGGTTGCATTGAGCCTAGATTGTGCCCCTGCACTCCAGCCTGGGCGACAGAGCAAGGCTCTTGTCTCAAAAAAAAATTTTTTTTAATATTCAAAATTTCCCATAATCCCACCAGACAAAAACCACCACCACTAACATTCTGACAAGTTTCTTTCTTGTCTATTTTTTTCTAGTCTTTATATATATTTTTAATTTTATTTTATTTTAATTTAATTTAATTTTTTTTTGAGACGGAGTCTTGCTCTGTCACCCAGGCTGGAGTGCAGTGGTGTGATCTCAGCCCACTTCAACCTCCGCCTCCCCACTTCAAGCTATTCTCCTGCCTTAGCCTCCCGAGTAGCTGGGACTACAGACAACTGCCACCACGCCCAGCTAATTTTTGTATTTTTAGTAGAGACGGGGTTTTACCATGTTGGCAGTGTGGTCTCAAACTCCTGACCTTAGGTGATCTGCCCACCTCAGCCTCCCAAAGTGCTGGGATTACAGGCTTGAGCCACTGCACCCGGCCCTCTACGCATATATATTTAACATAGTTAAATACTATATACAGTTATTTGGAAA